AAATTTTTTTAATGAAATAAATTAAAATTTCCGGATTTTTTTTCTTCAAAAAATTTTAGGGCCCCCGGACAATCAACCGGTGCTTTTTAAGGTCTTGTAAAAAAAATTTTATTTGGGGGTAAATACATTTTTTTGGTGTACTTTAAAAACCAGTCTTTAAATTTTTCCATCATAGTCAAAGCAAAGGGTTTTAAGGGCCCTTCGGGTTAAAAATTTTCTCAAGCCCCCTTCTTTTCCCTTTTTTATTTAAGGCTTTTAAAAACAAAAAACTATTAAATTAAACTGACCACTTTTGCCCTTAATTTTAAAGGGGTGGGAAAAAAAATTTTTTCTGGAGAAAAATTTTTGGGGAAAAAGGGTATCGCAAAGTCCCAAAAGGAAAAATAAAATTTTTTTTGGGGGGAAAAAGGGTTATAACTTTGGGAGAAAAGCCTTGTTCAAAAAGTTCTTAAAATTTTCCTAGACTATTTTAAAAGAAACCCCTTAATTTCCAAAACTTAAAAAAAAGGGTTAAAACCGTTCCCTCGGGAAAAGGGGCCCTTTTGACCCCAAATTTGGGAACAAAAAAAATTGTGAGTAAATTTCAACCATTTACTTAAGCAGTCAGTTAAATGGAAGACATTTTAGTCTGAATCATTTTTTAAACCCCCAGCCCCGGGGAAAAAAGGTCAATTACCCGGAAATTTTAAAGGGGGGGGCACTCATTGACACTGGGAGTTCCGACTGGCTGATACCCATTTTCCCCAATTTTTCCAAACGTAAAAATAAAACAGGGTTTTTTAAAACCCCCATCCAGCCCCAAAAAATCTTTTTAAAAGAATTTAGGAAATTTTTAAGGGTAAATTTGCTCCCAAACGGTTTAACCCTTGAGGGGAAACTCTCATTTGGGAAAACCACGCCCCCCAATGGAAAAAAACCCGGGCCCCCAAAAAGCGAAAGGGTCAATACCCAAAACCCACAAAGCCCAAACCAAAAGAAAAAAAATTAGGAATACTTCCCTTGCAGCCTCCCAAAAAAAAACAAAAAAAAGATAATAAAAAAAAAGGATTGAAATTTGAAAAATTTTATCCACCGCATAATACCTAAGCTTGGGGCCTTTTTGGGGCTTTTTACAAAAAAGGTTTTTTTTAAGTTTTTGAAAGCCTTTCCCCTTGAAACCTCGCCCAATTTAAGATTTTTTTTTTTTTTTTAACTATATGAAATATATTGAAAATCAATGACCCCCGGGGGGGGGGAAATTTTTTGACCCCAGGGCAATTTTTTTTGAACAATTTTGCAGGGGTTCACTCCCACAATTTTTTCATGCAAAATACCTAACCTCTGGGATTTGCAATTGCTAAAAGAAATTTTTTTTAAATTTTTAACTATTTTAATATCACAAAACCCAATCCCCCCGGGGGCAGGGGCCTTTTTGAACCCCGGGCAAAAATTTGAAAAAATTCGGGGAAAGGTCTAAACACAATGCCTTATGCTCGGGGCCCTTTTGGGTTTTTTAAACAAGGTGGTTTTTTAAATTTTTAAACATTGTACATATTGGGAAAATAAAGGACCCCCGGGGGGGGGTGATTTTGCCCCTTTGGGCATTTTTTGAAACAATTTTGGGTAAAAAGGTCCCCCGGGGAAATTTGCCTTATCCCAAATATCTAAGCTTGGGCTTTTTTGGGTCTTTACAAAAAGGGTATCTTAAGTTTTTACTAATATGTACATATTGGTAAAACCCAATAAACCCCGGGGCGGGCCCCCGATTTTGCCCCCAGGGAATAATTTGAAAAATTTTTGGGTAGGGGTCAAAAACAATGCCTTTTTGAAAAATTTTAAAGCTCTGGCCTTTAGGGGTTTTTTAAAAAAGAAGTTTTAAAATTTATTCTTAAAAAATTTCCCTTTTGGGTTTTCCATGGCAACCAGATTTCTGCAGGGAATGAAAATTTTTTTGAACAACTTTTCCCCCTTTACCCAAAAACCCCGGGTTTTTGGAAATTTTTTTTTTAAAAAAAAAAATTTTTTTAAAAAATAAAAACCAAAAACAAAACCCCCCCCCCAAAAAAAAACCCCGGGGGGAAAAAAAGGGGGGGAAAAAATTTTTTTTAAAAAAAATTTTTAGGGGGTTAAAAAATTTTTTTTTTTTTAAAAAAAAAAAATTAAAAAATCCCCGGGGGGGAAATTTTTTTTTGGGTTTTTTTTTTTTTTTAAGGTTTTAAAAAAAAAAAAATTTTTTTTTTTTTTTTTTTTTTTTAAAAATTTTTTAAATTTTTTTAAACCCCTTTTTTCCTGGCCCTTTCCGAGGGAAAAAAAAGGGGGGGAAAAAAACCCCCCGGGGAAAAAAAAAATTTTTTTTTTTTTGGGGAAAAAAATTTTTTTTTAAAAAAAAGGGGTTTTTTTTAAATTAAAATTTTTTTCCCCCCCCCCCCGGGGGGCCATGTTGGAAATAAAGGGGGCCAAAAAAAAAATTTAAAAAAAAATTTTTCAAAAAAAAAAAAAAAGGGTTAAAAAAATTGGGGAAAAAATAAAAATTTTTTGGGGGGGGTAAAGGGTTTATTTAAAGAAAAAGGGGAAAAAAACAATTTTTTTGGGGGGGGGGGTTTTTTTTAAAAAAGTTTAGAAAAAAAAAAAGGGAAAAGGGGGGAAAAAAATTTTTTTAAAAAAAAAAAAGGGTTTTCCCCCCCCCCTTTTTTAAAAAAGGGAAAAAAAATTCAAGGAAACCTCCCCCCGGGGTTTTTCCCCCCCGGGGGGGGAAAAGGGGGGAAAAAAAAAAAATTAAAGGGGGAAAAAAAAAAAAATTAAAAAAGGGGGGGTTTTTAAAAAGGGAAAAACCCAAAAAAAAAAAACAAAAAAAAAAACCTTTTTGGGAAAAAAACCCAAAAAAAAAAAAGAAAATTTTTTTGGGGGGCCCTTTTTTTTTAAAAAATTTTTAAAAATTCCAATTAAAAACCCCCCAAAAAAAAAACCCCCCCCCCCGGGGGGAAATTTTTGGAAAACCCCCCCTCCCTTTCAAAAAATACCCAAAAATTTTTTTTTTTTTTTTGAAAAAATTTTTTTTTTAAAAAAAAAAATTGAAAAAAAAAATTTTTTTTTTTTTTTAAAAAAATTTTAAAAATTTTCCCTTTTTTTGGGGGTTTTAAAAAAACCCCCCAAAAATTTTTTTTTTTTAAAAAAAAAAATTTTTTAACTGAACTAAAATCCTCTATGAAAACGTACATTATTATGTAAAAGATGCATATGAAAAAAAGATGTATATATATATATTAAGAGGATATTTTTTCGTTTGAGTGAAATATGGAATATATTTTCACGAAACATGATAAAATGCCACATATTTTCACGAGCCGGGACGGCGAGTGAAAATATGTGGCATTTTATCATGTTGAGTGAAAATATATACCATATTTCACGAAAAACGAAAAAATAACCTTTTTATTTAATTTCATTATCAAAGAAAAATGGTTACGAACCCCCTTGCTTGCTACGCAACTGCCAAACTCCTCACAGTGATTACCTCCCTTGGCAGAATTGTAATCACTGCCTTCAAAGACGTCACATGATGATGAAAGTCACATGACGTAACGTCGAAATTCAAATGTAAATATCGAACGTTACATAGAAATTCTAACGTCATTTTTCTCTTTCTGTTTTATTTTTAACTTTTTGTACCTACGTCCGTTATATTTTAACAAAAAATATACAGAATAATACAAAAGTACACAAAATAATGAAAAATAAATTAAAAAGCTAAAAAATATAAATATCCAAATTTGGATATTTCAATGTTTGTGATGGCAGAGATCTCTGTACTGATAAGGGGAGATCACTGCGTAGGAGATTGCGCAACTGCAATTGTACAGCGCGCAGTAATATAATTATTGTCTTGTTTTGCACGTGATATTTAGCGCTACATTGTGACGTCACGTAAACAACTCTTTAAACGTCTGTACAGCGTTAATGACTGAATTAAAGATATTGGTGTTCGGATTTGTTTTCTTAGTTAGACCTTTTTCTATCATTCTAGATAGTTTTCAAAACAAAATTCGACAAAAATTTGTTTTGAATTTTCAGATTTTTCAAACAAAATGGCGAAAGAAGTCCCGTAAAATAAATATGAGTTTTGACTCCTCCCACTTTCATATCTATATTTCATATTTATTTTTATAAAATTTGAAATATATTTGACTGATATAGCACGATATTTCATGGGTAAAATTAAATAAATATATATATATATATATATATATATATAAAAACATAGATATTAAATTTGACAAAAATGAAAATTAATTAATTGATTATAAAAGAACTTAAAAAAAAAAAAAGAAGAAAAAAAGAAAAAAAAGAAAAAGAAAAAAAAGATGGGCCATGAAGAGAGCGCCTCCCCGTGGTGTGGCCTGGATGCACTGAACAGATATCACACGAGATATCTATTCAGTTGCAACTGAACGCTCTCATCAGTAGGTTTTCTTTAATTTCAAAAACATAATACCTTAAATAATCAATATAGAGCAAGTGCTTCAATTATCGACAGTCTATAGTTATCGACAGTTTTATTATTTTTCATTATTTAAAATTTTCAAATTAACTTGTCAAATACATTTGAGGTAATCTTTTCCCTGAAACACTATCTGCACGTTCTTTTTGCTATTTTGCAAAAGTCCACGGAGTTTGGTCAAGTCAAATTTGCATGCATTTTACAACCGTTGCATCAATTTGTTTACTAGACAGGACAGCTTACGTCACAGGGTAAGGCAGTCAGTTACGTAATATCTGAAAGTTGTGATTTTCGCTTTATTTTTCCGAGAGTTATTCCACTTTGTTTAGTCTTATATTAGATGTGTATGGGTTGCAGACCACTAAATATGCAATATTAACAGTATTGATACAGTTGTAGGGGGGTGTCGATAACTACGTCCAGTAAACAGATAGGTCTACAGTTATCGACACATTGCAATTTTTAAATAAAAATTTATGTTTTTAAAACAATTTTATTGAAGAGTATAAAAATAATGTAACTATATAGTATATCAATGTTTTATTCAATTATCCATTTACATATAATGTTCAACAGTAAACATTTAGTTCTACCTCAGACAAATTTTAAACTTTAAAGTCATAAAGATGATAGGTTTCAATACAGTCATGAAAGAATATTACTCCTGTTCTAGATGTCATCTCAAAATCATAAGAGGGTCCAATACTTGCCACCCAAAATGAGGGGAAGTTGAAGTCAACTATGAGATGTAATGGGATGTCGAAGGTAAAGGCTGCCAGGCTATATGGGGTTCCAAGGACCACCCTTTTAGATAACCATTTGGGAAGAGTTCCTGAAATGCCAACAAGGCCCGGACCTCCTTCAGTTTCGACTTCTGCTGAGGAGAAAGCTCAAATTTATAAACTATGCAAATCTGATGGCAAAAGTTTTACCTTGAATTTGGAATATACTCTGTTGAAATCAGAAAACAAAAATTATATGCTGAAATAATCTATGAAGTGCACCTTTTAATGATGTTATGATTCATGTATTTTATACTACAAATGTATGTAATTTTGATAACTTCTTTACTAAATATTTCAAAACAAATGTCCTTATATATATTAATATGTTCTTCATCTATTTAAACTCATTTGCCATGACTATGAATCTTTATTTTATATTTCAGGTTATTCACTATCCAAGAAAGAGATTTTGACTAAGTTCTTAAGTGATCAGGCCTTTTCCCCTTAATATCTCCTGAAGGCAAGTGGGTCCATCTGACTCTGAGCTTATAGTAGCAACTACATATACTTCAACTGTCTCAGACAAGTCTTCTGCCTTTAATAAACTCATTATCCCTGAAATAAAGAAAAGAAAAGTCAACTCCATTAGAAATAAAATCCCAAAAGTGTTGTAAGGTTCTGTTGCTTTGAATTTGTTAATGTGAGAGAAAAAGAGAAGACCAGAAAAAGAGGAGTAAGACAGATAGAAAGATAAAGCAAGAAAAGTGAGAGAGGAAGAGAAAGAAAGAAAGAGTTGTAAAAGATAAGAAAGAAAATGAAATTGATAGAAAAGAAGAAGAAAAGTAGAGGCATATATATGCCAGCAATACCTCTTCTGAGGAAAATATACCATACATGGATTCCGATGATGATGATGATATTGGTGGTGGTATTCAAATGCAATGGTTTGTTGAATTAACTATGTCTGTTTGTTATCTTATACTTACATCAAAAGTATGTTACCTTAAACATGTACTTACATCACAGTCTTTACTATCTCTGCTTACATCAATACATCTGAATAAAAAATTGAAATTGGTTATTGACTTATCATTTTTCTTAAAATTTAGGGGACTGCAACTTGGGTTCAAAGTTCAATTCAATTTAAAAAATAAACTGCAAACACATGTAAATCACGATTTATTAATTTAAGTAAATACTTTTTGCAATATAATGATTGTCATGATATTATAAAACATAATTATTATCAATATGTCCATTAAAAAGGATTAGTGTCCTCAATTAAAAAGTACCTGTCGATAATTGCGTCCATGTGTCGATAACTACAGCCTTAGAATTAGTAGTAACTACCGAGTGTCATGCTGTGTAAAAATAATTGGAACCGGGAAATACCCTTCTAAACAACCAATCAACGATTGTCTATTTCACTAATTTCCATCAAATAATGAAGAAATAATAGCAATATTTTAACTAGTTTGTGTTTTACGAGTTGATTTCGGTAATGAAAAGTTGATTTCGGTAACTTTACCGAAATCAAGTTGATTTCGGTATCGTAACATACCCCTATATAGGGGTATAATGAAAATCGCCGAAACGTGTCAGAATATTGTTTTTATGAATTTTTATTGTGCAAATCAACTTGCATTGATATTTTTAATGGGTTGTAGCAGGGCCTTCGGGGGGAGGGGGCCCGGGATAATGTCAGATCACAGCGTCTTCCCCCTGTGTGGCCAAGTGCCGCCGGTGTCTTGTAGTTGTAAACGTAGGGTGTACATATCCTTAAATTGAAGTCAATAAGCAATGTCTATGCAAATTGTGCAAGACATTTACTAAAATACATGTTTATTTTTGATAAGTTGACAACCAAACTCTGTATACCTCATTAGATAAAGCCATATTTACTATTTCTGTCAACTGTTAGAGGTTTGCACCATCATCGCCATGATTTCCTTAAGGATTACACGCATGCGCAGGAAGTCGATGTAAAGAACACCCAAGATTTTTTATTACGTGAAAGACTCGAAATATACAAAAACGTAAGTATGTCAAATTGAAATTTTTATAATTGTTGTTGAATTTCATTATTTGATTGAATGTGATACTTTTAAAGAAATTAAAACAAAAATGATGAGGAAATATTATTATTGACACTCAAATGCCTATAAATTGAATGAACTAGTGAACAGTATCAGATCATGTTAAATTAACAAAATTAGCTTACTTTGTAAGAAAATATTATAAGTTGTTAAATGCAATCTTTTTTGGTAAGTGGTCATTCTCTTATTTTGTACTTTTCTTTTTTACAATGGTATAACAACAATTGCATTATTCATTATAAGTGTTGAAATTGTGTCAATCTTGTAATTGTTTATTACCTGTGTTTGATGAAGATTTTTGTTTTGTTAGCTGTTTATATTCATATGAAAATGTGTTTTCAATGAATAAAAGAATTTAATTGAATTGAAGATCTTATGAATAGAATCTTGTATCATTACAGTAGTCTAATTTTGTTAAAGAAGCATAAATTTTGATTATTATTAAGAATAAAAATTTATTAAGAATTTAATGTATTTAACGGATACAATATATGTCAATCATTCTCCAGTGATTATGTGTATTTTTCTGTGTTCCAGTTGTTACATGTTCACAATTTTGTATTTTATGTCGCATGTTCTTATGTACTGAAAGTATTGTATAAACAAATCTTGTAATCTTGTCTAATACTGTCGACGTCTTGTTTAAAAAAGTTATTCATTCGTTTCATTGTCAGTTCATATAAATTGAAATCGGGGTGTTTAAATACATCATACAAAGAGCTGCAATGGACACTATCTAAAAAAGTCTTGGTTTTATTTCACAATTGCATATGTCCTGAAACACCTAGCGATTGCCTAGTGGTTAAAATGTCCAGCACAGGCCTCTTAATCCAAAGATCATGACTTCCAGGACTACTCATGTCCTCGATTACTGCTATGACACCATTACTGGTTAGTTCAAGGAAGCGGCTGTGATAAATGTAAGTTGTAAAAACTTGTTTCACAATTGAGTTCATCTAAATACGTTTAAAACTAAACTATACTACCAGTCAGGCATACTGCTGAGACACAGAGTCATATTTATTTTTTTCTGTAATATAAGTTTCTGGCTAAGACAACGAACTTTGAAAAAATGAAAAGTTGAACATGGCATTAAATGAAATAAAGCGGTATCTTATCTGCCAAAGTTGCATAAAAAGTCAACTTAGATTTACATCGTTACCTACTTTGTAGAATTCTTGGATTTTTTATCAAACTCTACATGTTTACTAGGATCTAGCCATTTCTTTTAAGTTTCATTACAAAAGGGCCAATTGTGAAAATCCTGGAATACAGGTCTACCTGTAGATGTTTTATCTTTACATATGCAAGAAACGCTTAATTTATTTTATCTCATATATATCATATTGATAACTGACAATGTCTTCTTTAATATAAGGCCAAATTCGCAACCGCTAAAATATAAATTTAACAAGGGTTTTATAGAACTAGTCTTTGATCTGAAATGATCATGCTCTGTTTTGAAATGTTCATTTTTTAGACTCTCAGTAATAACTGTCGCCCTATATTTTGTTCCAAAACTAATGCGGACCATTGATATCATTAGTCATCATTTTTACCGTATTTTTGAGCGTGTAAATGTATATCTAAGTAAGGATTCGTACCATATTTTATGTAGATTTGACAAAGGTCTCAGTAAACATTGATTGACATTCTTTGTGCAAAAAAAGCAGGATCTATCCAAATGACCTAGTTCTATTTAACTTAAAATCGTCCATCTTTAAACTTTTACTTTCTATTATCAAAAGCATCATTTTTTTAACTTGATATCGTATAGGACCATGATTGTAACATATAAAAAAATACTGTGATTTTTTTCTTCACTCCTAGTGACCTACATGTAGTTTTATAGATTGAATAGCTGTTGTATTCTATCTAAATAGTTTATTGATTTCAATCTACATTTCATAATGATTTACAACCTCGTTAAATAATAAAAAATGCTTTAAAACGTGCCTTGATTTAGCGCAAGAAACACACTGGCAATAACAAAAGTTATCATAAAACTCTGTGACATCTTCAGAGTTATAACAAGAACTCCAGAACATTTGAAAAATCGGGTTTTTAAATCTGTTCGCCTGGCGTTATGTTTGCAATTTTGCATTATAATTAAGTAATCATGTATGACAAGGATGAAGATCAGAAATAAACAGGCCAATACTTGTGAATTGGCAAATAATTTGGAAATTTAACTCAAAACTACCAAATTTTAAGCAAGAGGCGATGAAAAATAGCCTATACGAATTAGTTCTTGACACATAATACAAGATGTAAGACAAGCTTGATCATAAAAGTTTAATTTAGCACCTAAAACTTATTTTAAACGATGAAAATAACCATTTTTGACGAGTGTTTTTGTAGTATATACAGATGTTTTCCGGTGAACTCCGCGACAGTTATCACAAGAACTCCTGAACAAGATATCATAAGAACTCCATTCATCGTGTAACAATTCCTCCCCTGTGAAAATGTATTCTTTGAATTTTATCATGTAATTTAAATGCAAATCGTTTATGACTTTCACCTTTATTTCAAAACTTCTTAAATAATAGGGGTAATCTCCCTTAAAATAACAACGTTATATGAAAAAGAAACAGTCTACACCAAAATAATCTTCAACTGATTGTCACTCATACAAACAAAATGCGCATCTTCTTGCCAGCAAGTCATCCAACGAAGAAGTAGTCTTTAATAAATGTATTAACAATTTCGCAAATCTACTTTCTTGATTATTAATATATTTGATGAATTCTACTTACTTACAGTACTGCTATTGTACTTCAAATAAATTTTACCTCATTACAGAAAAGAAGTTTCTAATGTGAGAACTGAGTTGATGTTTTTTTCCCATTAATGTGTTGTCGGCTATGAAACATTTATGCAGTGGTACGTAACTTTCATGGTACATAACCTCCAAATTCCAAAAAAAAAAACCCATTTTTCTATACAAGTTGACTGAATAAATCACACAATCAACTGATTTGTTAAATGATCTTTTTCTAAAATTATTTACAATTTTTTTCACAATTTCAATAGAACTTAGTTTCTAATAAGAGCTCTAAGCATGTTATAAAATTCTCTCATGTTCCTATACTTTTGAAAGGGGAGCCGAGAACTCGTAGTTCCGGTGTCTACCTATCAAAACTTTGGTTCTCTCATAACACCAGTAAGAAGAAAGAATTTACTTCAAATTTGAGCTTAAATAATTATATTTATACTATGCATTATAAAATATACTATGCAGCTTAAGAAAAATCATCCTTTGGATTCTCTTGAAATGTTAAAAGATGATACACATTTTTTTCCTGTTCACATGTCAGGATTTGACCTCTTTAAGCAAGATAGAAAGTAAAAACACAAATAATGTTAAGAATTTTACTTAAATACAAATCTTTGGCACATGGCAAATAGTCAGAACAATCCTCCAATAAAAATTAAATATATGATTTAAAAACTTTTCTCTAATGAGGACAAAGAATAACTCCCAAAGTAAAAATGTCTGGTGACTGAAACATCAATCCAGACTTGACTCCAATATCAGTATTACCAGAGGTATCATTTTCTGACGGCTGTGAAGTTTGGGGATTTGAAGGTTGTAGGGTACAATTTTGTGAACATGAGTCTATAGAAGCATTTTCAGTAATGCCACTCTTTTCTGAACACATGAAGTCTGACAAGTTCACATAAATATCTTTGTTTTGAACAACAGTTTGTGATAATGGAATGTTAGTTATTGCTGCATCTTGGAAAACTGGCATCAAGTTGTTTGACACTGGACTGTTACATGTATGTTGCATAGAACTTTCTTCTTTCTCTTCGTTTTCATGAATAACTTTCTGAAAAGTGAGAAGAAAAAATCAGAAATTTAAGGAAGATTAAAGAAATATTACAGCCAAGTTTTTTATAAGACTTTAACAAAGCATCATGATTATTACATTTCAAGTTGTTTCAGTTATAAAACAATATGTAATAAAAAGGCTTAACTAAATAGGAAATGTCATTGAAGTAGTATAGTTAAATTCAGTTTAAGAAAAAGTAACTTAACACAATATGCTTTTAATTTTGAACAGTTAAAAAAGGTTTTTTTCTGGGTTTCAGAATCAAAATGCAAATACATAAAGTATGAGTACTGATCTACATGCACAAATGTGCATACTTGCCTCTCTCAATACTGATATCCTAGGTATATTATTGTTGCCACAAGCCTTGCTTTATACAATTTGCATTAGTAATAATAATAATAAT